TGGTCCTGGGTTCTATCAGAAAGCAGGTGGAGCAAGCCCGGGCAACAAGCCAGTAAGCAGTCCCCCTCCTTGGCCTCTGCATCCGTTCCTGCCTCCAGGATCCTGCCCCATTTGAGTTCCTGTTCTGACTTACTTCAACAATGAACAACAATATAGAAATATAAGCCAAATAAACCCTTTTCTCCCCAACTTGCTTTTTGGTTGTTGTGTTTCATTCCATCAATAGAAACCCTAAGACAGGGCCATTTTCAGCCAAACTACCATGCTGTTTTAATCTCTAATAATAATTATTTTATTTATCACTTGGGGCATTTTCTTAAGTTAGAATCTTAGGTTATTGATCTTGGGTCTTTATTCTGTTCCCATTTGGACATATAGAGCTGAATTTCTCTCTGACCATGGTGGTTACTGTTTTCCATAAATTACACTCTCTACTTGTTGTCATTCAGGCTAAAATACTTTTAATTTCCCCTGTGCTTTCTTCCTTGGCCTGTGAATTATTTAAAGTGTGTAGCCAAATATTTTTCTTAGTGACACTGCTCCTGATCTTTAATTAATTCCTGTTTGATCAGGGAACAAGCACTGAGTGAGCTAAGTCCTTCTGAAGTTGGTACAGTTTGTTGCCTGGGGTGGCTCAGTGAAGTATCATGCACACTTCAAAAGAGTGCCATGCAGTTGTTGCGGGCAGTGCTCTGCAACTAAGTCAAGATACAAGTCAATTAAGATGAGATTGCATATGCTGTTCAACCCCTCTGAGTCACTGGGGATAGTTTTTTTTTTTTTTCATTTAGATGAATCAAATGTTGATAAAGGACACAATCATATTGTCCATGTAGAGTTGCTATGTCTTACAAATGATTGTCCATTTTTTCAGTTCTAATATACCACATTTAAGAACATTTCTTTATTTCTTTTATGTGTATGTGTAGGGGTGTGTGCCTGTGCCACAGTATGCATGTGGAGGTCAGAAGTCGATTGTTGGATTCCTTTCTCGTCTTACACAGTGAGAGTCCAAGGGATTGAACTTGGGTGGTCAGACTTGGTGGCAAGAAGCTTTATATGCTATGTCATCTTACCAGCCTCTAAAATGCCTTTGGCATCTAGTAAGCTCTTTGGCCAGAAGTCCATTTTGTGCTATATTCTAACCATCACTTAGGCTTTTTGACGCTTTTTGAGTGGCAGACTGTTTTAAGTTTATTTTTATTAAGATCTTTATACATAAAATGTATCTTTTGTAGGTAATATAGACTTTTTTCAACTTTTTTATTTGAATTAGAAACAGGATTGATTTACATGACAGTCCCAGTTCCCTTATCCCACCCGTCCTCCTCTACCACCCCCCCCAACTAAAACCCTACCTATCACATATCCTTTCTGCTCCCCCTGGATGGTGAGGCCTTCCATAGGGTGTCATCAGAGTCTATTGTATCCTTTGGGATAGGGCCTAGGCCCAACCCCATGTATCTTGCCTCAGGGAGTATTCTTCTATGTGGAATGGGGTCCCAAAGTCCACACCTGTGCTAGGGATAAGTACTGAACTACTACAGGAGGTTCCGTAGATTTCCGAGGTTTCCTCACTGAAACCCATGTTCCTGGGGTCTGGATCAGTCCCATGCTGGTATTCCAGCTATCAGTCTGGGGATCAAGAGTTCCCTGATGTTCAGGTCAGCTGTTTCTGTGGGTTTTAGCAGCCTGTTCTGGACCCCTGTGCTCTTCACTCATCCTTCTCTGCATCTGGGTTCCAGTTCAGTTTGGTGGTTAGTTGTAGGTGTCTGCTTCTATTTCCACCAGCTGCTGGATGAAGGCATGTTTGTCTTTTTGCTATTGGGTTACCTCACTCAGAATGGTTTCTTCTAGTTCCATCCATTTTCCTGCAAATTTCAAGATTCCATTTTTTTCCCGCTGAGTTGTACTCCATTGTGTAAATGTACCACATTTTCTCTATCCATTCTTCAGTTGAGAGACATCTAGGCTGCTTCCAGTTTCTGGCTATTACAAATAGTGCTGCTACGAACAGCGTTGACTTTTATGACATTCCTTTAAAACCCACTCTGGTGAAGTCTTCTACTTTGGATGTTTTACTAACAAATGTTGATCTGATGTCTGATTCGGTCTAAAGCTACCACTCACTATATTATTTGTTTTCTTATGCCCCTCTTTCTTTTTACGATACCTCCTTTTTTCTCCTTTTAAAAAATAATTTAGCATTCCTTCTTTGTTTTTTGTCTGTTTGTTCTTTTCCAAAATAGGGTTTCTCTGTATAGATCAGACTGTCCTAGAACTCACTCTATAGAACAGGCTGGCCTCGAATTTGGAGATCTGTCTACCTCTGCCTCCCAAGTGCTGGGTAGAGACATATGCCACCACCAGCAAGAATGTGTAGCCTAGACTGGCCTCGAATTCATGATCCTCTGCCTCTGCCCCCTGCAGCAAACCCTACCAATGTGCACCACCACAAACAGACAGCATTCCTTTTAATTGGCTGCTAAAGGTATATTTTTATTTTTGGAGAGGGTGCTCCAGGGTTTGTAAAATGCATTATTAACTTTTATCATTGAAATTGTACTATTGCATGTAAATTAAAGAAAGTCTGTAGTCAATAGCTCATTTTAGTACAACGTTGCAAAGTACCTGAGATCATCAATGTATAAACAGTTAAAAGTTATCTTGGCACCAGTCCCTGATCCATTTGGGCCTGTTGTGAGGCAGCATAGCGTGACAGGAACATGTGGCAGAGGAGGAAGGACGTCCCAAACAGCAGAAAGAAAAAGAGAGAGAAGGGGTCAGGACCCAATATTTCAGCCAAGGGCACACCCCCAGTGACCTAACTTCCTTATAAGGCTCTACCTTCTAAACACTTCACCTCTTCCAGAGCACTAAGGCCACAGACCAAACCATGGCCACAAGGACCTTTGTGGGAAGCTCAAAATCCAAGGGAGAGCAGGGCTGTCTGCACTGCATCCCTGTGCCTTGGGAACACCACCAGGTGGTGCTCAGTCTTTCTCCCAACAGTCATGTGCTTTTTAAATTAATAAGAAAGGAGTAAATCTGACCTTACCTCCCTAGACAAGCTATTTGGCCGTTGTTTTCCTGGGCAGCTCATCCTTTGGCACTCTTAATCTCTCAGACTCAGATGATTGGATATTGTTTTATACATCCCTGAGAATCTGCTCACCTAATTCCATCTGTTTTCCTCCTTCAGTTTGATGAGCCTCTGAGTTTACAGATCTAATAAACTCACTTTCCATAAAGTAGTGTTTTTCAGATATTCTACAGTTATAATTTTAGTATTCCCAATTTGTTTGTTTTTACATGTTATAGTTTGATTGTCTGTCCTTTCTTTCACTTTGGCCATTGCTTCTTTGACTTTCCTGAACATGGTTGAAAATCATCACTTGTGCTTGTCTGGTAATCCCAAAACTAGGGTCATCACAAGACCAGCATTTGGCTTTATTTTATTTCACCATTTCCACTTAGTATGTGTTACAATGACTTGCTTCTTTGTGTACAGAGTAATTTTAAATTGTTCCCTGGACGTTGGACAAACCTTATACTACATAAGCCCAAAGTCTGTCACAGTCCTTTGGAAATGCAGATTTTTCTGGGTTTATCAAAGCAGACAATCCGCTGAGACACAAACTATGCTAACTCTTGTCTGGGAGTCTAAAGACTGTTCCATGGAAACAATGGGAGTCAGTGTGAAACTGGGAGATCCTGGTGAGCTAGAGAACCTCACTCTTACTGTCCTCTTGTTGATTTCCTCACCTCACTCTGGCAGTTGGCAGTACTTAGCAGACCACCACTTCCTGATACCTCTGAGCAGAAGTTTGAGCTTTGATTTGCTTCTGGAGTTCTAGTTGTCTGTAACTGTCACTTCACTGCAGTCACCTTCAAGCCTAAGCTTCCAAAGTTGGAACTTGCAGTCAAGTCATTTCTCTAAGCTTTGGTCCTCTCTACATTCTGCTTAATTAATGTTCTCTATTCTTCAGGGTGTGTGTGTGTGTGGGGGGGGGTGTTTTGTCCAGAATTTACTGTTTTTAATTAGTGAAAGGGTTGGTTTAACCTCCAAACATAACAAGCTAAAATGAACCTTGCCACTCCATAGTATTTACAACAGGTATTCTGTCACAGTGATGGAGGCTGACTAATACACACTCTTATATCCAACAACTGAAGCCAAGGACCATGATGGAAAAACAGAATCTTCCTGAGAAAATAGAGTATTCATGAGAGGGAAGCTGAATTTCCAAAGGCAGAATGTGTTCGAGGGAGAGGAGAAAATTGTAAATATTATACTCATATTTTTAACAATCCTGTACTATTCAATGTTAACATTTTATAGGTACATGTTTTATGCATAATCTTTGTGTTATGAATATTTAATGCATGTACATAATATACTGTTTGCGTAATTTATAGTGTTATTTTCCTAAGAGAGGCATAATTTCAATACCCTTTAAATTCCCATAAGACTTGCAGATTCTCCTAGTACTAGCATCTAACAGTGGCATTGCTAAGTTATGTGCATGCATTTATTTTATTGGTCTTTATATTCATGCTGACAGGTGTGGTTCCTATAACAAATGAGAAATCTGAGGTCCCAGGAGAGTAAGCAGTGTGCACATTTATCTGGGTTTCATTGGATCTCTGTGGCTGATGTTTTCTTCAAGTTGTCTTCCCCTTTGGAGTCACTCTCTACCACCCAAACAGCATTGGGTCAGAACCATCTTGGAAACCATGTAGTAGAGAGGGGGAAACACTAGGCTGGGGAAATAACAGCCCACCATTCTAGCTTCTGTAGCCTCGAAACACTGCAGGTGTCTTGCTCCTTTCACACCCCTCTCTCTGTCTGCCTCGGAAGTAAAAATATACTTCCCAATAATTTTCAAAGCCGCTCCAGACATTAAACCAGAAGGGCTGGGAAAGTGTGGTAAAAACACGTGACTGTAATCCTTCTCTCCCAACTCACAAACTCTCGCTTCCTTCTCCAAGTCTTACAGTTACGGCTTCAACAGCGAAGGACCCAGGAGCAGCTGGCTAACCAAGGCTTTATACCACGTGAGTACTCACAGCTCTTTCTCATTCACTCAGCATTGTGATATCTGAGAGACAGAAGGAGGCTAGAGAGTCCCCAGGAATCTGAATCTGCAAACATGGTTGTTTTGTCCCCTACCCTTGCCTACATAGAGGTTGTTCCTAAGACTTCAATATGGTAGATTTACTCTCAGGGTAAACTCAAGTTTATGATGGGCATCCCTGGCTCTTTTCCTACTTTTGAAGCTGGTTCTTCTAGAAGTACCAGATGTATGGTATTTTTTTCTTTCACCTTCTTGGTTGGGGTTCAGCTGTTTGAATGCACAATTAACCGAGCATTGTCAAACATTTCCTTTCTAGAAGGACCAGTTGCAATATGGTTCTAGCATGAATACTATAATATTGAACTACTACTCAAAGTGTGAGTCAAAGAAGGGTTCTTATGGGTTTTAGAACATGGTTTGCAATTTTCTAACAACTGAAGCAAAGTCTCGGTTGTTTAGGAGAGGACAGGGAAAGGTGTCCCAGACCCATGAAATCACAGTTCAAATTCTTCTAGGTAGTATTAACTTTCCAAACAAAATGTAAAAGTCCATGTTCATAATAACACCTGCAGAAATCTGGGTTGTTACACATACTGACAAGCTGGGCTTCAGTATTTAGTTCTCAGCTCTCAGTTGTACCCTAGACAGACTACATGGGTAATGCATATGAGCACTAAGGCCTGAGGACTGCCCAGGACTCAGAGTCCTCAAGCCTTTTCTTTCATGGTTGAAAAGTAGCCTTCACAACAGCTAAGAATACAAGTGGTGAGCAGCAGCGAGCTGTGGAGCTAAACTTCTTTAGAGTTTTTCCTAAGCACAGAAGGGATGGATGTTCCTGCAATGTCAATACTGCTTCAACAACCCCATTCTGCTGGTAAACTGAGGCAGCGAGTTTGCATCTGGTGTTTTAGTCTGGTCAGTCTCCTGAACATGAAGAAAATGGAAGACAGAGATCTGAGACTGGTTAGGGCAAAGAAATATGATTTCCCTCAAAGTTCATGACTGTGACATCAGTGGTGTTTCCTTCTCCTTGATTTTGGAAGGGCAGATAACTCACACACAACAGAACCATTTAGTTCATCCAAGTTCACAACTGATTTAAAACAAAATTTAGCCCACGAGCCCAAATGCTGAGCCTGGATTTCACAGCTGGCATTTGGATAAGAATATTTTTGAGATCTATGGAGTTAGATCTGGAAATAAAGTGGAAAAATAACAGGCCAAGACAACGACGACCCCTGGGATACAGTTTAAGTCACAGCTCTCATGTCAGGTGTAAAAGTAAAGCATCTTTTCCTGTAGAGGAACCTAGTGGAGATGTAATATTTTCTTCTCCAGAATTTTCATGCTCAAATAGTATAGATGTCAACAAAACTCTACTAAAATGTTTACGGAGAATTTGTGACTAGTCCATTGCATCATCAAGACAAGTTCAGGGCAAAGAAGTCCCACAAAAAAATGAAATGTTTCACTTGAAACTCGACCAAATGATAAAGGTTTACTCCTCTTTAGCCACCTCCTCTGAATCAGAGTTTCCAAGGACACAGCTCCTGCTGTGGACAAGTGTGTGGGTGTCTGACACACACCACAGATCCTGTATGGATAGATGGGTTCTGCTCAGCTCTGTTCAGAACACTAAAGAAAGGACTGGTCTCTTCCACAGCTGGTGGGCCCAGAGTCCTAATAGACTAAGCAGCCACACAGTACACCAAGGGGCCATGCCTAAAGGCAAATGATGGCAAGTAGAGGATCCAGGAGGCTCGGACGCTCCTGGATTTGGTCTTATCCAACATAATTTATTATTAACTGTCCACAGAATCTAGAGAGATGCACTGAGAAGCCCACAATAATGAGCAAGATGGTTCCTTGGAGGAATTCATAATGCTAGGGGGAGCTGACAATAGTCTAACTCGATGAGGTCCCATTCTCTCCCACAAAAAGACCTTCTATTGTTTCATTTTTTTTAAGAAAGAGAAAGGAAATGAGAGAAACTATTAGGACAAAATTCTACAAAGATCAGCTAATTCTATGAGTTTTTTTTAAATTTTTCAATTTTAGGGAAATCATATACATATTTTCGAGCCAAGACAATGTTGATAGTCTGCACCACCCACTTCCTAGGCCTTTCCTCATCTCTCCTAGAAGCTCTGAAGTCGCCTCACTAGAATGCTATTTTTCTTCAGCAGGAGTTAGAAACAGGGTAGTCAAATCTTTATTTCTAGCTAACATTTATGGAAATGAAGCTGACGGTCCAAGAGAGTCTTCAAATGTCTTAAAGCAGATCCAGTGTGTTCCAGGTCCCTCTCATTTTAACTTGCAGGAATTTAAGTACACAAAAATTAAGATTATTATAAAATCTCACTTTGCCTGTGGTGTGAAATAAATGTAACTGACTCTGAAAATTTTACAACTTATTATAAATTACCTACACACAAAACCAATGGCCAGCTGGGTGGTGGTGGATCATGCCTTTAATCCCAGCACTTGAGAGGCAGAGGCAGGCGGATCTCTGTGAGTTCGAGACCAGCCTGATCTGCAAGAGCTAGTTCCAGGACAGCCTCCAAAACCACAGAGTAACCCTGTCTCGAAAAACAAACAAACAAACAAACAAAAAGAAACCAGTGGCCATGTTAGTGACTTACTCTAAATTGTCACATATCTAGTTAACAGGGGCATCTGCCCCACTTTGGCAGAATTTGTGTTATGTACTTTTGTTTTTGTTTTTACATTTGGTTGTCTACAGAGACTGGCCACTGCAGAAATGTCAACCACTTCATGTGGTAGAGCTGAGGTCAGAACCTTCAATGTCCAGTGCCCATACTGACCCCCTTTCTACCTGCGATGTTCAGGCCCCACACAGACCTGTTCTCAAGTGTTCAGGAGAAACTGTTTTACATTTGTAAGAACTTAAGTCATTGTTGCAAAAATATCCACGTAGAAAGTGAGGTGTAGCTCATGGTGGAGCTCCCGCTTCTCATGCATAGAGACCCTGGCTTTGATCCCGAGTATTGTAAAGATGGACTGGGAAAATGTGAAGGGGATCCAAGAGTCTCAATGAGATGTTTCACATTGACCAAAGATGACTGATAAACTCTACTACCTAGCCTCTGACAGATCTCACTCTTTACAACTTGATAAGTAAACTAAGTTCTCTCTTCTCTGACCCTAATGAGCTGAGACATACTTTCCAGTTGACTATTCCTAGTTCAACAGGGTTCAGTTAGTTTCCTTACTCCCTTCTTCACAGCCATGTATCGTGCAGGCTTTGAGGTTGCTACTAAGTAACAAACAGTCCACACCAGTAGCAACAAAATTTTTTTCAATGATCTCAGTCACTTTAAAAGCACTCACATTGTCCTTGTTTGTATGAGTTTAGGGTTTTCCCCCTTCTGGTCCTTTGAATGAAATTAAATGCACCATCTTTTGTTGGAAATAAAGACAGATGTCCTTATATTCTTACGCCAATATAGAACCTAAGAAAAATTTAATAAAAAAGGTGTTCTTTGGACCTGAGTAGGAGGCTGAGCCATATCTTAAGAGAGCTTTCTCAGTGAGTGGTAAAGTTCATGCTTTCCAAACAGTCATGAACTGTAAAGCTTTATTGTTTAGACTTATCTCCCAGACCCACATATGATTCCCCAAATGGAACTGCCAGACTCTCCAATGAAGCTAGGATTTGTAAGGTTGTCTTCACCAGGCCTGCATGCTCAATGACACAGCACATATAGACAGTGCATTCTTGGGGCTTTAGAAGAGGGCAAAGGGTGTTAAAGTTTTCATGCATACATCCTCCCTACACTTCTCCCTGAGCATCACTCTACCAGGCAGACACTTCTTTGTTTTTACAAATTTTATTCCTTTGATAGTTGCACTAAGTGTTTTGCTGATATTTACTCTTCCTAGACACACCCCAGATTCCCTACCCAACCAACTGTGTGTCATTTTATTTAAACCCCTCAAGACTAACTTGTGATGCTCAAATATTCTTGGATGTGTAGGCTTCCCATGGAACATTACCAACTTAGGAGGGAGCTACACCTTTAGAGAAAACTCTCTTCTTCTCCCAGGAGCTAACAACTGTCAGTAACCCCAGAGCTAGAGGTGGAATTTCATGCCCAACTGCCATGTTCTAGGATTTGGTCTGGCTTGGACTTGCTCCAGTCTTGAATTCAGAACCTTAAATGATGCCATTTTATTCTGACCCCTTCCAAAGCCCTCATATAAAAGATTCTCAGCCTCCTGAGCCAGATGCATGAAAATGGACTTAGAAATATGAGCATCTACTAGGAGTAAGGCTGTATGTAGGGCATACTCAGTGGGGATCAGGCACAGTTTCTAAGTCAAGAGATTTGCAGTCAATAAGGAGCCAGCTCCTCAGAGCACTCTTAACGGTTCCTACTGATGACTTGGGAAAAGTATTGAGCTTTTCATGAGAGTAAGTACCAAGGCGGTTGAAGAAGGAACCTGAGTGTTCCCTCCCTCTCTACTACTAAAGAGCATCTATCTAATGGGGATAAACTTGGGGAATACGGGATACAGTTGTCTTCCTGAAACAGGAAAGGGAAGGAAAGAACTGGGATGGACTTTTGAGAGCCTAGGGACCAGAGACGTCACTGTGTGCCCACAATCTCAGAGAAAGCTGGAGTGGGATTTCTGGGAAGCTTGAGTTCAATGATTGGATCAATGTAAAAGAATTTGAAGATACAAGGAGCTGTCTGTGAAGTGTGCTGCCTTTATTTGTTTTGCAGACTAATCCAAGCTACATCAGCCACATACTTACTGCCAAGCCTTGGTAAACCCCTGAACTCTGTGGCACTCCTGAATAGCCAGAAGAATGATGGGCCATCCCCGCACCCTCTCCCCATGCAGCCTCACCATAGCTTTGAGACATTCACAAGACAGTCTCCCTGCCTTTCCTCAGTGCACCAGCTGACTTGGCTTCTCCCCACAGCACCTATCACACACTGTTGGCTGCCTGAGCAGAAAGTGGCATGAGGGGATTAATCTGTCTGCCTCTTCCTTTCTCCCTACCACCTCCCCCTCACAGCTAGGGGAAGTTACCCTGAACTTTGATGCCAAGCTAGATCAACTGTGACTTCTCTCTTCTCTTTCATCTCTCCCACAATTTTCCAGTTGCCTGTTTCTTAAGAAGTAGAAAACTAGTCACTAGAGACATGCTTTGAATTTGTCTCTGTGACTACAAGGGAAGAAACTCCCAAGCATTTGCACGTGTTAAGTCAGAATCTGGAAGTGTACTGCCAGGTCTTAAATGCCACCAGCTACATTGGGCAAATACACTATTTTCAAATCCATAAGACTATAATTTGAGCATAGAATAAGCAATTTATTGAGAGAGAGAGAGAGAGAGAGAGAGAGAGAGAGAGAGAGAGAGAGAGAGAGAGAGAGAGAAAGAATAATTTCCAAGTTGCTATCACCTACATGAAGCCTGTATCCTGATTGCTCAGGGGGAAGTATTCATGTTCTCTTCTGCCTTTCAAAGCAAGGCAGAGTGAGAAAACCCCATGAAAACCATTTTGTAAATGGAAAGCCCAGAGTACAGAAAACCTACTGGATTTGTTCAAGGTTATACCAACAAGAAAAGGTCTTGACTAGATGGGTCCTAAATTCTCAGGATGTCTTTAATCATGAGGCACTGTGAGTCTCATATCTGGAAATAAATGTCTCCCTCTCTACAGAAAACCCTGTAGGTGGTCTGGAGATTGGCTCATCAGTTAAGAGCAGAGGACCTGGGTTCAGTTTGCAGCACCCACACGGCCACGCACAGCCCTCTGTAACTCCATTTACAGGGGATCTGACACCTTGTTCTGGCCTCTATGGGAACGAGGCACACACATGGTACATAGACATACATGCTGGCAAAACAGCCAAACACATAAAATTAAAATTTAAAACAACCTAATACATACTCATTATTAATCCACATGTCTATTTTCAACTAACAGATAAGCTACAAACTTACTAGCAAATGCTTTTTCACTGGAGCTAGAGTTTTTAAAACTACATTACTGTGACTCCAGGCAGCAATGACAAAAGAGACAGTGTCTTTCTCCTGAGCATCCTTTTGAGGAACTGAAAGCCAATTCTGACAATCCCCATCCAGTACTTCTCTTCAGAACTCCCTGTTTCTCCAGATCCTCAGTAGGGGTGCACGGCTGTTGTTCTTAAACCTGGGTATCAACATCACTTGGAGCCTTTGTTCAAAGCCAAATTCCTATGCTTCACCCCCAGAAATTCTGAGGCTGTGGTTCTGAACACCTAACAAGTTCCCAGTTGAAGCTGAGAATTGCCAGTCCTAGGGCCTGCACTAAGAACTGTCTGTGGCTCTTGGCATCTCTTTCTGTCTCTATTCAGTGGAGTAGGAATAGTACAAGAAGTTCTCTCTGGGCCTGGTAGTGAAAGGTTCCCCTAGATGGGAGTTAGTGCTGCAACATCCCCGGTGGGCTGCCACTCAACACCAAAGCCCAGCCCTATGCAAAAGAGCCTGTCTCAGCTTTAAATGAGTCTTCCGCATCTTCAGCCTCTTTTCTTCTTGGGATCCCACTGGAGGCCTGAAGTCTGAGTGGAGCAGAAAGGACTGCAGGAGGCCTGTTCTTATCTAGGCGAATGTTTATCCACACAGCTGACCCAAATTAGCTGGAGCTGTAGGGACAGAAATAGGAATAGCCTGCGACTAAACGCTGAGGCGAGAACATGAATTCCCCTGTGAGGAGCGATTAATCTTCCTCCAGGGGAACAAGTCAGATGTGTGGCTGACTGGATTTATAGTCAAATTCTAATTTGAAATCACATGGACTTATTTTTTTAATTTAGAAATCCAAATTCCTTTTCCATCTTAAATGTCAGTGTCCTTTAAATATGAAATTTTGCCATTTGATACTCCCAGGGCTGGCAGCAGAAGTGGGCTCTTTGTGTATTTAAAACAAAAATCAACTGAGGGAGACATTATGATTTTGGAGGCCTGCAGGGGAGATGGCCAGAGCCCACAATCTCTGAAGTCACAAAGTAGGCAAACCTCAACCCCAGGGCCACTTTGCTGGGGAGTTTTCCACAATGTGACCTCAAACTAGTGCCCCATAGCACACCCAACCCCCACAGCAAGCCCAAGGAGAGTATTTATTTGGGAGGGCGGCATGTTGATCTCTTCATGTTCTTCCCAAGACCTCAATAAATGGACATAGCTTTCCACCCTATGGCAGAAGGTTCCAGAAGACCTCTGTGCTCCTAACATCAGAGAATTAAACTGTTTCAATTGTTTCACAGGAAAAGTAGTGAGTGGCACAGTAGTGATACATGGTTTTGTAAAAACCAATGAAGGGCATGCAGTGTTTCTTGGAAAAGTGATGAGTTCCACTAGAGAGACCTGGAGAATCTCGAGGATGCAGAATCAGTAAATCTTTCTCATGTCCAATTAGAACCACAAATTTGCCACACAAATCTGACAACCTGAATTCCAGAAACCACATAATGGTGAAAAGAGCGAGGTAACCCCACCAGGTGTCCTCTGTCGTCCTTCCATACATGCCCTTTGACGTAATGCCCCCACATACACATCACACGTACAAATGCACACACAGTAATAACAATGAATTTTAGGAGAAAAAAAAACAAATTGTGTTTACAATATGGGAGGCTAACTAAGGACTATGGTTCCATTTGAAGAACCACCCCAGGAAAAACACGTCATTCTTCCTCACCACTTAATAAAGATCAGTTCAAAATCAGTTCCTTTACTGGTGATGAAAGTAATTCAGCCATACTAACTAATCAGCCATGCTTAATTCCATGGACACCAGGTTATGGGATAGAGGAAAAGCTATTGGTGCAGAGCTCACACATTACAGGGGCCCAAGTAGACTCTGTGACCCGGTAGCTTGGTGAGGGGACATCCCTCTAGACATTCCCAGCATAAAGTTTCAGGGATAAACCATGAGAAAAGGCAAGCCTCTTTCACCAAGTTACTGAGATTCTTGTCTAAGAAAGTTCATGGACCACGATAACACTACACATTTGCTTCCCGGAATCACTTGGCTGGGGAAGAGTGAGAAAGAAAGGGGGCACCTACAGTAGTCAGTATGTCTGAGGAGCCCATTTTAAGATGGAAAGTGACAAACAGAAACTGGAAAGTTTATTTCCAGGTCAGTGTGAAATGTGATAGTCAAGCTCAATGTTCATCCTTTTCCCTTTGAGAAAGAGACTCTGTGACCAGTCTAAGCAAGAATGGAGCATGCTGACCATGTTGGGTACAAAGTATTTAGCTGCAACAATTTTGGCATGGCCTTTGGTCAGGGTTGTTAATGTTGGGGTGAGGTGGGTGAATTGATAGAGCATGCCCAAACAGCATCCTACATAGAAAATATTATAACCAACCACCACTATGGTACCTACCATGTCCTGTTAGCTTGAACTCCAACAGGTTAGAAGAGGAATAGTGTAGTTTTCAGGGCTGC